GTTGGGGTGCGCCTGGAGAGCAGGCCTGAGCGCAAACTATACCGACTTGATGTGGCTTCACGTAAAGAGCAGTTAGTTTGAAAAGGCATTCTTCACTTACGACAACCTGCGACAAATCAAGGGATCTATTCCTCATGCCCTGCAAAACCGCCGCAAATAAATGATTGCCGCGAAACATCCGTAGCCGCGCCGCAGAACATTCCAAACGTGGAATGTTTTAATTGGGTCGCGCCGTGCATCCGCAGAGGTTTTTTTTTTTTTCTTTTCCGCAAAGAGGAATGGGTAGAACTGACCAAGGATAGAACGGAAATTAAAAATTCTACACACCCATTTTTAAAAAATGAGCATTTTCAAAAATGTTTTATTAACACGTAGTAGAATTGCAGAGAAATGAAAACCAATGTGGCAAAAGTGGACCGCTGCGAATTCACAGTTTCACATTTTTAGCCTTTGAATGCAGCTGTGGCCTCTTAAAAAAAAAGAGAGATCAGGAAATCCACATGGGCGCTTGTCTCGCGATTGAATGCAGCACGCCGCAACGTCATAAACTAAGCGAGCTCTTTCCCACTGCATGAAAATGAGGCTATTTTGGCCCCCCCCCCAAAAAAAAGCAAGTTGTGCGCAGGCGGCGTGGGCTCTGACGCCGTGCACGTGGTGGCTTTTGAATGTGGAATGCGCGGAAAAAGACAGAAAGGAACGATAAGCAAGACCTTGAGGTCGCTTGACTTTCTTTCAAAGTGCTTTTGGCAAACAAATTTGATGAGACGGGGCCCCGAAGGGGGGCCTTGCAGACGTGCCGTTGCCGTATCGAGGACGGGGGTCCCAGCTGTCATTGATATGGACCAATATTGGTTGTCTGTTGAGGGGTCACTGCTAACCCTCTAACAGCAGCAGCTCGTAAGGGGCCCCGCGCGGGGGATTCCTGACCTTGTTGTCGCCGAGGCGCCCAGGGCGGTTTCCAGCCGCGTCGTTGAAATGGGCCCATGTCAGCCGGCTCTCACGCCTTCCGACGACGGCTCGTCCGGGGCCCGGCGGGGCTTTTTGTTGGATTTACTTTTCATTTTGGAGTCGTTCCTTTTTTTCCTTTTGTGTTTTGGTGGCGCGGCCTCAAACGGAAAGATTGAGCACTTTGGCAAATCTATTGATGCGCCTTTTCAAAGAAAAGCAGTCGGATGAGCAAGAGGAACATTTAAAAAAAAAAAAAAAAGTAAAGCGATGATGGGAGCAGGTGAACACTGGGCGCTTACAAGGCTTAATAGAATTTCCTCGAGTGGACTCTCCCTCCTCGCCCTTCCAACTCGTGCGTCCATTTGCTCGGAGCGCAGATTCAATTTCATCGCTCTTCACTTAATTGGCAGCTGCCGCTCGGAGCTTCCCCAGCTTTCGTTCCCCCGCCCCAAGCAAACTGAGGAGGAGGAGAGTCGGAAAGTCGGGTGGGCAAACCGCAGCACTTCATTTTTATGGATGGACAGTTTGTAAACGCAACGAGTTAGTGGAGAGTAGCCGTCCCCCCCCCCCCGGAGTAGGCCAGCACTCGACGGGGTCTTAAAAAGCAAAGATGACGATCGGCTTTGTTTTGAAATCCTGAGAGCAAAGCATCATGGTGGGCCGACAAATATCTGGCGTCGCTCTCGGCCCGCGTAGGCGGACCGAATTTTCGGAGCGAGCCAAGCAAAGCGCGGCGTGTTATTTCGGGCGCAACCTTTGGCAACGTCTTTCACCGACGACTTCCGCAACCTGGCGCTTTTCCCCCACCGTCCTCGGGGAGTCCTCTTTCCGGTTTCATCCCAGAGGTGATTTGAAGAATAAATAACGCCGCGTCAGTCAACATGACAAAGCTCGAAACAGATCGGATGACTTTTCCACTCGTAGACAAATAGCGTCCCAATGTTTTCACTTTCTTTTCTCTTGTTAAAAAAATCAAATAACGCTGCGATTCTCGAAATTTGGTACTCAGCCTCCCTCTAGTGGCACTGGACAGAATTGCGTCCTGATTTTGGAGCACTTTTGAGTACAATTTTCCTCCATTCGGGTGCGGAGTTCATATTCAAAGTATGCATGATACTACACTAAGGCCCACTCCACGACTAGATTTTAACGTTGCTCATTATGGTGGTACTTGGAGCGTTGAGGATTAAAAAAATCGTTTTTTCTTTTCGATGATAAACCAATTGAGAGAACGTGTTTCCCATTTGGACCCGGGTTGACTTTCGAAGCGTCCTCCGCTCTCGCTACTTAAGTCTGACTTCACCCCACGGCGTCGTTGAATAACGCGGAAGCCGCAGGGGCGACTGTGGCCAGCGTGTGTGATTTCATGCCTCATTAGCTTCTCGTGTCCCCGCACGCACTTCATTGACTTGACGGATTGTTTGTTGTCTCGGACCCGGACCGCATGCGTTAAGCGTGAACTACTTTTTGCCACTTTCGAGCCCTCGCGGGTCCTGTTTGGCTTGGGTTACAACACCGCAGGGAAGTTTGGGGACTTCAGGGCCAAACCTCACCATGATTCGCGATATCATTTTGACAGCTGGCTCTCCATCCGAACCATGCAAAATGCCATAGGCAGGCTAACAATTGGCATCGTTCTTGCCGTGTGGTAATCTTTAACCAACGGATGTTTGATCACACATGTTGGCAGTACTCAAAGGGATCTATTCTTTATCCTCTGCGAAGAATGACGTATGTTACTGCATTTAAGCTCCCGGATAGCCATGGCGAGCCCACCGCAAGGAGCAGTAAAATGTCCATTGAATGACAAAAAAAAAAAAAAAAACTGTGACAAAGACTCTTGATTCATGTACATTCGATATGATGACGTTCTCATCGACAATAAAACGAGACAAGGATTTTGAAGCTTTTATTTGAAGAGCATGCCGTTACATTTTCTTGCGTTAGCTGGCAGTTCATAAATCATTGAACCAGGTTCATGACCTTTTAGTACGGTCCAAGAAGCTCAAAAATTCACATTAAGTACAATGCAGCCTGTTAGTACATATGAGGAGCATTCGGAGCGAGCCGTACATTTCAGCGACTGCGCATCGGGAGCTCCCCTCATTTTTGCATCATCGCTATGACACGACGCTCAAGTGCAAAAAAATCCGCACGTCATCACCTTCACTCCTGTACAAGTCCAACCTCTCCTTTTTTAACAAAATACTGTTCAGAGTTAAGTGTCCGCTCACAGTTTTCCAAACGTTGGGCACTCTTGAAAGTTATCGCATGGGAGGCTTTTTATCACACAATGTGCATGCAATCGTTTTTTTGAGTTTTTTTTTTTCGTTGTTTTTCTCCAATATTTCAGTTTGTACGTTGGTCTTTTCCTTAAAAAAAAAAAAAAAAAAAAAAAACCGCATCTATTTACAGGACGAAATTCGCTACAAAAACAACACAAAACAAAATTGTCCAACAACATCAAGAAGCCCTGAAACGGTGGCCAGGCACTTGTGATGCAAAACACACAAATCGACAAGTACAAGTGCTACAATCGAGCGAGCAACATGAAAATGAGTATGGGAATACCTTCATTTGAATAACAATAACATTTGCTCCTTCAAATATAACCCCCCCCACCCCCTTAGCGCGCTGTTTAAAAAAACAAAACCCAATGAAATAGGTGCATGATTTCCTCTCTGGGCAGAATAATGGACCACGTGGACAGCCGCCGCCATGATTGTTGCGTCGCTCGGAGGTTGGCGATACCCTGAGAAAGAACGCGGAGAGGAGAGCGAGGGCGAAACCCGCCTTGATACTTTGGCGTCGCCATCACGTGTGCGTTAGTGAGCTCGTCGCGATTGCCGTCTGCGTATGTAAATGTGGCGAGGTCGCGCGGAGCACGTAGCAGGCGCTTCGGAGGTACACGTGCTGCTCTCGAAGGGAAGGCCAGAGTGACGGAAAACTGAGTGACTGAATAATGACCAACACGAAGCAAAAAAAAAAAAAAAAAATCGATTTTAACATTAAATCACCTTTAATACTGAATGCTGGAACTTCTGTACAGAGGCGCCGCTGTTTTGGTGAGCAACGTCATTCACACTGCCTGCGTAGGAATAATTATGTCGATGAGCCAATCAAATTCACTGTGGGGTTTTTTTTAGGAGCGGGGGGGATGTCTGTTTGAGTTTATTTGTAGACATGTTGGAGGTCCGAGGGTACCCTCAAGCTGGCTCCCCCACGACTGGGTCTCCGATGTATGTCTCGGCGTTTGGGGACTCTTTCTCGGTGAAGAGGTCCGTTCGGAAAAGAATCCAAACATCCTGCGCTCAGCGTGTCACGCTTGCGAGGTTCCAGACCGCTGCCAGAAGGGACGACGCATCCGCTCGGCGGCCATTTTTCAACGCGACGAGAAGAGGCCAACATGTAAATAACGCCGCTTGGCCCACACTCTTTCACTTTGGGACGACTGCGGTTATTCGTAAAAGGTCGCAAAAGGCAAAACGGGGCTCTGATCCGGATCGGAATGATCGCTGACTGAACCGGTCAAGCTAATTTCCTTCCATGTCCAGACGAGCGAGCGAAAGAAGGCGTTTGTTTGTTTGTCCGCTACACCACCGAGGTGGCGGTGGGTTTGGCGGGGGCGGGCGCCAAACTCTGGGCGACGTCGTCGCGGTTGATCTTGCGCAGCGCCGCGCGCAGCGCGTCCACGCTGGCGCCGTCCTTGCCGGCCCAGTCGGAGAGAAGCGCGCGCACCGGGCGCTGCTCCTGGCGGAAGGCGGCGACGCGCTCCTCCTCGTAGCCCAGCAGGCCGGCCAGGTTGCGCCAGTCGTCCTCGGCGCTGCCGTCGCCCCCCCGGCCGCCGTTGAACAGCAGCTGCTCCACCTTGTCTCTGGTTTGCAGAGGCAGCAGGAGGCCCGGGTCCTCGTCCATGGTGACCACTGCAACGGCAAACGTACGCGAGGTTGGTCGCGGTCGACGGCATGAGACAAAGGCAAATAACTGAGGCTCGCGGCGTGGCTTACCCGTGTGCGTCTGGGTCTGACCCAGCTGCTCCTGCAGACTCTGGCTGTCCACCGAGATGCCGCTGTCGCTGTGCAGTTTCTCGCCCTCAGGCGACGGTGTCTGGTTCTGGTTGGACGCGCAGTTGTTGGCCTGCTGCTTGTTCTGCTTGCAACTGTTCCACCTGCGCGGCGAGCGGACGGGGTAGAGGTCAGCCCTTGGCGGACGCGCAGTTTGACGGAACGCGTCGCTTTTCGTCCGCCGCCCCCGATTTGAAAGGGAACGAGAAGAGCCACTTCAGTTGGCGGCGAGTCAAGTCCGCGGCATTCGCGCCCTCAGTGGGCACATTTTACCAGAGCAAAACCCGGTCCAGGCCCCCCCTTTGCTGATTTTAAGCGCTTCGTCTCACCCGCGATGTCGGCATCGATAGATTCAAGTGATCCATTAAAAAAAAAAAAACAATTGGATACGTTTTGTGTTCCCCTTTGTCTGCGCTCACTTCTTGAAGATGATGAAGGCCACGAGGCCGACCACGACGGCCGCCAGCACTGAGCAGTAGACGGGGATGAGCTTGTGGTTCAGGCTCTTGGAGATGCGCTCGTGGGAGTCACGGTCACGGTCGTCGGCGGCGGCGGTGGTAGCGGCGGCGTCGGTGGCGCCGCCGTCCGTCGGGCCGTCCGACGGCGGGTCGTCGATGGGGAAGTCGACGTAGGTGGGCTCGGTGAAGGCCGTTGGCGACACGACGGGGTACTGATCTGTGAGGGGCAAAGAGCATTTTCCAAGTGCTTCAATTTCATTCGGTTCGATTCATCGGGGCCTGCGGATTTGCGGTCGGAGAGCTCATGGGATCGTGCGGGTGTTGCGATTGTAATCGGCGAGCGTATATGACATCCCTCGTGGGGCGGTCATCCCCGCACCCCCCCCCCCCCCCCCGGG